ACAATCCCTGCCGGTACGAGACTCGAACCCACAACCTTTGGGTTATGAGTCCGACTCTCTAACCATTAGGCCACGACTTCCCCAATATAGCTCTATTACCTAAGTGTCTGAATACAGAGACCTTTGCAACATACTTCATACGTTTTGTTTTGTGGAAAGTCATTTTTTTTAATGAATTTCACTTTGTATAATTTGCATCTTAATTTTAATCATTGTTTTGTTGATCAATTATTGAATAAAATAAATAAGAACAGTAAAAGGAACGCATGTGGAATGAAGTACGTGACAAAATACAAACACACTCCATGCTTCCGCGGCCTGGAGAAAAGGCCAAAATAGTATTTGTTTTCTGTCTGTTGACAGTATTTTCTGGTTTATGGAGTGAACTAGAATTTTTCCAAAATCCCCTCTGGAAAAACCTTTAACTCTAATATGTCAACAAAATGAAACCAGAATTATGAACCTGGCTTTATACAATGTTCAGAGTTATGTGCTGGAAATGTGTGCAAATTACTGTATAATTAATTAGATAATGCCTTATTTGCATATTTAAACATAACAGTTCAGAAAACTTGTAATACAAAACAATAATCTAAATGTTTTAAGCACTTTAGCCCCAAATTCTCATGACTTGTCATTTATGCTTATTTAAATAAGTTTACTGTATGTTTTTTTTACTGAAAATGCCAAATATAAAGGTGTTTTTTTTTTATTTTTTTTTTTATTTTGGGATATAGCATGTGACCCAGACATCATGAAAGCTTTTCTTTCATATTAATCAGAGGTTTTGTTGGTCACATGACGATGCTGAGAAGGTCTCCCACAGTTAAATCTCATTGGTTGTAAACGCTGCTGCACAGAGATGATTGACATGTCTGATCGGGACATGTGTGTTAGTGATGTGGTGACTTTACAGAGTTTATGATTTCTGCTTGTGTTTTGTGCAGTGGGGCGCTGTTGAGTTTGGCTCCTGCTCTGGGAAACGCTTTTGGTCCTGCGCTGATGAACAACAATGCACTGGCCACCATCCAGGGTAACTATATTATTGTTCATCTCAAATCTAATAAATATGACTGCAAGGCATGATGAAATTAAGATATTATAAACATTAACATCATAATTTTCTGTAAAGCTGCTATGAAACAATACGCTGTAGGGCTGTCATGATTTGAGTACTCAATTATAAAAAATCCTTGATTGCATTTTGCCTGTGTCGATTAACCGGCAAAATACTGGAAGTGGTGCATTCCACAGACGAGAATCCATGAAAAGCATTATTAGACCTAATCATATTATTAGAATAATAATATGATTATTAAAAATCATAATAAAGCATAATGCTAGTGTGAATTCACAAAAGCTGTGTTTCAGTTAAATAAATATATACACTGCGGGTTTAATATGCACTTTATTTATATGTGTGTAGGTTACGTGAACCTCAGAGTGGCTCCGTTCACAATAGATGCTGGACCACACAAACAGTTATCATTTACTGCTTATTATCATGCGGACGGTCTCAAACTCCATCTTTCCATATGCTGAGTTTTGAGTTGCTTATAAAGTTCATCTGGGAAAAATGTGCACCATTCTATCAGATTTATAAGGTAAATCATTTATAAACCTATGCCAACACAGGAGAATACATCATTATCTTTGTAAATATGTTCAAAATAAAATAACTTCAAAATTAAAGTTTAAACCCTTGTTCTGAGTTTGCTTGTTCTGATGTCCACATGTTCTTGTTCAAGAAATGACAGTGGCTGAAAGTCTATTGTTCACTTAGGTCTATGTTTATTACCACAAAAAAATATCCGATTACTCGATTAATCGTCAGAATAATCGACCGATGACTCCATTACCAAAATTATTGTTAGTGACAGCATTAATGTGCTGTATAAATATATTCAATGTGTTTTTTCGTCAGCTCTGGCATCGGGAGGCGCTCTGCCTCTGACCTCCTTCGATGGAAACACCGGCCTGCAAGATGTTCAAAATAAAATAACTTCAAAATTAAAGTTTAAACCCTTGTTCTGAGTTTGCTTGTTCTGATGTCCACATGTTCTTGTTCAAGAAATGACAGTGGCTGTAGCATTTATATCAGAAAGAAGTAGCCAAATATTAAAGATTAAGTGGACTTCTGAATTAAATGTTGTTTGGTCAATATTAAACAAGGATTAGATCGCGCTGTAAAGTAGAAAAACAATCATCAGGCCGTTGGCCCTCTGCAGGCATTTTATATAATACAGTACATAAAGTTATGATTAGTTTGTTTTATTACTTTGTATTTTAACTGTTTTGTTCAATAGAACCATATGATTACTTGTTTTTGAACCAATAATTTATTACCACAAAAAAATATCCGATTACTCGATTAATCGTCAGAATAATCGACCGATGACTCCATTACCAAAATTATTGTTAGTGACAGCATTAATGTGCTGTATAAATATATTCAATGTGTTTTTTCGTCAGCTCTGGCATCGGGAGGCGCTCTGCCTCTGACCTCCTTCGATGGAAACACCGGCCTGCTATTCGCCAACACCAGTTCAGGAAGCACTGCCCCCAATCTGGTGACCACCCCCGTCTTCCTCAACCCGTCCAGCCTCTCTCTACTACCAGCCAATCTGCTGTCAGCAGGCGGGGCTGGAGGCGGAGCTCTCAACCTGCAGCTGGCCAATGACATGCAGCAGAGTACTGTTGCCATGACAACCAAGAGCATCCCTTGGCCTTGAAGGCGCAGTGAGCACATACGGCTCCGTCCAATCCTGTGCTATTACCAAAAACACTTCTGATGCATCTAGTACTTCCTGCAACTGAATGTCCGTGTCACACGTTTGATGTTCGAGGAAACGGTCAGGATTTAACTTTATTTTTCAATCTATTTATTAAACTAACGTCTAAATTAACCAAAAATGTGACTGATTCTTCATGAGAGATTATTTCACATAAGAGTTTATATTGACTTTCTACAAGGGTTTCTGTTTTTATTTGCGGCTCTGCGAAACAGGCCGATTGTAGATGATTTCAGATTTATAATCAAAAGCATTTCAGAACTTGTGTTGCAAGTTACTACAGCGCTGGGTGGAGGGTTCTATAAATTATTTTTTAAACTAGTATTCTAACTCGACATCACTTTATAAATATGGTTAGAAGGCTTTAAAATGGTAATAATCATTGTGAGAGATGCAAATGTGAGAGATGCTCCTGTGAGAGATGCAAATGAACTCTGCTGTCACATGTTTGTTTGAACATTGATTCTGTGAATCAGCGGCGAATCGAGTTAATTCAACTGAATCTATTAAATCAGTGTGTAATTCCACCTCACATGTATGTCTGTCATATCAAATGTTGGATGCTGAACGTTTATTTCCCATGTTTCTAGTGATTTGAAGCCTGTGAATGGATCGATCTGATCAGCGTGTAAATCTCATGATGACACAAGCTGCACCTGTTCTTGAGATTTGCTCCGTCACGTGATTATGCCAAGAAACTGCTACTTCAGTCTGTGATGTTGCAGTAATTAGCCTCTTTCATGTTTTTCCCCAAATATAAGTGTTTTTCTTTCAGACTGTAGCTGCATGCGGCGGTTATTGATGCGCTGTTACCTGTGACGCTTTGAGTCATTTGACAATCACAGCGAACACAATCACAAAAGAAGCTGCAACCAAAGCCAGTTTCAGTTTAGTTTAGTTTAGTTTAGTTTAGTTTAGTTTAGTTTAGTTTCCTATGGCCTGACAGAGGCATATGTAGCGTGTGCATGAGCGCAGAGGTCAGAAATACCTCCCGCACTGATGTTAAAGCTGCTTCCTGTGACGCGCAGATCTTCAGCTGAAGACTCTGCTCTCAGAACTACTGTGAACAGTCTCTCTTATCACGTTTCTACTTCATTTGTGTTTCTTTGCCAAAGCAAATGTCTTTTTTAACTTCAGCTTTCATGGCACGTTTAACACGTTGACATCTCATTGTTTTTATCTGCTTTCCAACAGTCTGTGTGAGAAACATAAAGATGAAAATATCAGCACATGTAGTTTGAACCCTTTCAGCTTCTTTCCTCTGATCATTTTCTTTATTTATACACATGAAAATATTGAAACGAGGAGGCAGCATTGATCTGTTAATATCACTGGCATTTCCGTTTTTGTCTCATGCTGTATAGATTATTATATTCTGTATATCAGTGATTGTGTGTGAGCTGCTGCACTTTACTTTCATGTTTATTGGCTTTATTATTTTGTGCAGGAATGAAAATGTGGATGAAAACCAAAGAACCATCAGCTTTGTGCCGCCCCTCTGTTTCTTTTCATCCTTAGTCAAAACACACTAAATACAAGGATTATATATAAATATATGAAAATTTGTTTTATTTTTGTGGCTCCCAAAGCAAAAATACACTTAAAGCGTGAAAACCAAAGCTTTTTCATTTTCTCTTTGCCTTTCCCTTGATTTTTTAAAAATGTATAATTAATTTTAAATCATGAACACATTGTAGACTTTTTTTTTATCCAGAGATTGATTTTCTGGTGGAATATGAATCATGAGATAAATCGTCTCATGAGTGTCTCGTGTCATTCTCATGAGCCGCTTCTGAGAGATGATTGTGATTTCAGACTGTGTGTGAGATTCTCTAAAGAATGTGTTTGATACAGAAGGGCTGTTCTCACACACACACACACACACAAAGCTCAAACAGACACACTCTCTTACACACACTCTCGTTCCTCTACAGGTTTTCGTCGATTAATCAACTCTCACAGTTCAGTTGTTGCTGTTTGCCGTAGAAATTAACCTTTCTGGATTTGTGTGTTTGTATTTTTCTTTGCTGTTCATTATCAGATGATGAGTTTGTCATGTTGCTGTTGCTGCAGTTGTAGATTTCATTAAAGTTTTTTTTTTTCTCAGACTGTTTATCTGTATGATCTCCATGTGTTTTGATCAACAGTCAAATCAAGTTTCTAAACTGATTATTTACTGAAAAAGAGAAAAATCACTTTAACAAGCTAATACAAAATTACACAGAACAGACAAAAGTAACAACCAAATGAAATGCAGTGAAATTTTCAGTTTTAAACAGATTACATGTAGTATTACACTATTATAAAGTACTTGGGGGAAAAAAAACACTCATGATACCATGTGAGAGATACTGAACATCAATCACCGTGAATCTTGTTAAACCTGCGGCTCATATTTCACCACAAAATCACAAGAAAAGACATTTTTAAATCATACAGAATATTAAGGTAATACTTTACAATAAGGTCTCATTTATCAACATTATTCATGCATTAACATTTACAATGAGTGATATATATTTTACAACATTAACCTTTGTTAATGTTAATAACATTTTTCATGTTAGTTTACAGTTCATTAACTAATGTTAACATACAACTTTTTATCTTAAAATGTATTAGTAAATACTGAGATCAACATTAAGATCAATAAATATTTTAGATTTATTTTTCATTGTTTGTTAACGAATGAACCCTTATTGTAAAGTGTTACCAAATAGCATTATTATTTGAATAGAATTATTAGTTGAATCTCACAATGTTTAAACGTTTGGTCTTCAATCAGGTTTGGTTTTATAATGATTTTTACTTTACATGTGTGCCGTTTAAATTTTGGGTTCATTATGAAAGTCTATAGCCTAATTCACAAAGTGGAGAAACGATAAACACAGTCACTGTAAAAACACCGAATAAACACTGGAGTCTGTAGGGGGAAAAAACTACTGGACTGAAATCACAGACAGAGTGAATGAATGAGTTAAGTGGCTGAATCTGCACTGGACTGTGATCCTGACGGCCGGTTTGTGGAGAATCAGCATTTAACGTGGCGGCGGGTGAATCGGCTGCTTGTTCAGAGAATCATACGTGTCTTTAGTCACGGAGCTCAAACCCTGAAACACAAACACATTAAACCAAATGAAGTGACTTTTATTTGACAGTGATCTGATGTTTAGTTGTGATATTAAATATGTCTGACCTGATAAACCTGATCAGGACGGCGGCGCTGGAGGAAAATCACAAGATCAGTTTGAGTCTTTTGTCGAATCATTCAGATGAATTGATATGAAATAAGACAGAATCAGTCACACTTACGCCTGCCTTCATTTCAATCTCACGGTACGTGTCGTCCGTCTTTTTCTGCAGAGGCTGAAATAAACAAGCATAACCATAATCATTATCGTCATCACAGTTTTGTGGAAGAAATGCATTAAATCATTTGTTCGGTTATTTCAGTCAAGCATGAAAATGTTTTGTTTGATTTTTGAAAACACTTTCCATCATTATAAACTAGCTGCCAAGTTTATATATATATATATATATATATATATAGCCTATAACATCTGAAGGACGTCATACACTCTTAAAAATAAAGCTTTTCAGTGATGCAAGAGAAGAACTTTTTGATTCCCCAAAGAACCTTTCAGTGATCAAGTATTAAAAGAACTCTTTTTTTCTTAGTGTAAAGAACATTTTAATAGTCTAACGAATCTTTTGTCAATTGAAAGCTTACATCACATGTGTTATAGACTCTCACTCGCTCGCGCACGAAGAAGGCAGTGATGATGATGCAATACAGCAGCAGAAATGCGTCCAGGATGTAACAGTACTGAGGATCATACGTCGACATTGCTGAAAACACAAGAACAGCAGATTGTTGATGAATGAGTCTGAACAAAGCACCTGAGGGAAAAAACAGCAGCACTGATTCAATCGAGCATGAGCACATTCAACAGTGTTCTATTCAACAGAACAAACACACACACACACTTCCATAGGCATAATGGTTTTTATACTGTACAAACTGTATTTTCACAAAGCCCATCACACAAAGCTTTCTGCATTTTTAGTTTTTCAAAAAAGATTCTGTATGATTTGCAAGCTGGTTTGCTCATGGGGACCAAAGAATGTCCACACAAGGACAAGGATTTTGGATATTGCCATCTTTGAGGGGACATTTTATCCCCATAACATAGGGTATACCTGAACCATACAGACTCACACTCACACACATGCACACACCCTCACATGCACACTCACACACACACACACACTCACGTACCACACATACGCACACACACACACATACACTCTCGCACTCTTATGAAGTGTTCGTGGTGTGTGCATCTCGAGTGTTTCTAGTTCAGCGGTTTGTTCAGCTGCTCTAACTGACTAACTGTGTGTGTATGTGTTAGAGAGATAAAGAGGGAGGAACACAAGAGAGTGATACAGCACACACACACACACATAATAAATCGGCGTAAAGTGTAAATACAACACAAGCCGATGAAACGCATTGTTGTGTGTGAAAATCAGAAATGTGCTGCACGTTTGAGTCACACAGAACATTAAATCATACTAAACTACAAAATCATGAACAGAGACGTCAAAGAAAACAGCCTCTACAATGTTCATCAAAAATGATACCGTCTTAAAAATAAAGGTTTTTTAATGTCATCATTGGTTCCAAGAAGAACCTTTAACAGCCATCGAACCTTACTATTCCACAAAAGTTCCTTGGTGAAACAAAATGGTTCTTCTGTGGCATCAGTGCAAAAAAAAAAACCTTTATTATTTTAGCTTTATTTTAAAGAGTGTAACTATAATCATTACAGTTAATACTTATCAAGTGTAGCAGGTTCTAAATATAGATCAGATGTTTATGAACCTGGTTCAGTTTTCATTCTGGCACTGCTTTTATGTTCAGACTTCAGTTTTTTGACATTTAAGGTTCTGCTTTAGGATCTGATTTTCTCATGTAATATGTTTTATACATTTTCATTTTTTTTTTCATGTTTACACTGAAATTGTTTATTATTTGATTTGTCAGGAATAATGTGAGTTTAAAGAAGTTGTGATTCCTGCATGATAATTATTTGAAATAGTCAGATATTTGACTGACTGATGTTTGTTACGTTTTAAATTACATTTTTTAAGTTCATACAATTTATATTTATTCCATAACTAGAATGTGTATTAGTGAGTAGTTTTAGAGGTCAAAGGTCACATGTATAACACCTTGATTAATTTGAGTGGTTTAACAGATGTTGGTTTATGTAGTTCATTTGTTTGTTTAGTTCAGTGGATGAACATCTGTTTGGTTTAAGATGTTTTAAGCAGCTGTGACAGTGAGTTTAGTGGTCAGATGTTGATTTTCTCCTGATTCAGAAGGATCTGTGAGTTTGCTGGTCTGAATGCAGGCTGGTCTGAACTTCCTTTTCCACACTGCAGCTGTGCACTGCTGTGGTTAACGTAACCTATAGTGTCGGATGGCTCAAGCAGGTCATCGCCTTTAAACGGGTGAAACACAAACCTCACGCTTGACTTCAAAACTCCTGCTGGTCATCTGATCATCACAAGAACTCACAGAACAGAGCTGAAAAATACTGCAGTCGTTTCACTTGAAGTATTATTCTGGGGTATATTTTGTTTGAGTGCAATTTAAATGGAATACTTACATTTCTGAAGAAAAAAGCAGTATGTTTTAGTCATTAGAGTTTTATTTCTACTTGAAAAGTACGTGTTTTACTTTTGCAGTGTTTTGAGGTTTAGCGGTCAGTCATTATTATCTAATAGGTTTTTTATTAAGGTTTGTTATTTATCCAATCAAAAGAGTGCAACCGTAAGTCACAGTAACGGTATTGCTAAAACTACAATTCAAAGAATCCATAAAGAAATCATTTTTTTAAATAGCACATATAAACCTTTCATGCTCTGAGGTTAAGAGATCTGCTTCTGTGGAAGTCAATATGTTTTAACATCGAGACATAACAATTGTCCACTACATTGCTCATGACAATATAATCAGTTACATAATTTATATTATAATACAATCAAGTTTTCTTCAGTGAGAATTGATCATAAAACTGTATATTTTGATAACCACCATTACATTTTTTATTAAATGTGATAAATCTTGAAAACTGTTTAGTGTTGAAATTAGCATACTACTACTACTATTACTATTACTAATTAAATGTTAAATTCATTGAAAATGCTTCATGTTTACTGATGTTCTTGCCAGGCTGTGGATTAGTGCTATTATAATTACATTACAGTTAATAAACATATCAATTAACAATTAGTGCTGCCAGTCAATGAATGTTTAATCAAATTAAATACACTGATTAATATAATTAATCGCAATTAATTTCATATGAATATTTGCAGAGAAAAATGTCCAAATGCCCCAAATAAACATTTGAAAGACATTCATTATTATTGCAGACAAAAGCACTGAAATGATGTCACAGTGACTTCAGAAGTTGAAATTTTATGTTTTAATTCTATATCACTCATCATAAGTTCATCACTACTGAGCGACTGACTTTGTCCATATTTCAAAGGTGATTTAGGGTTTTTTGAAACTCGTTCTTCTGTTTTGCGTCACATCTCGGTGTTTAAGGGGCATTCACTACAATGTGTTTTACTGTTTCACTGTTCTGCTTTGTTGTTCTATATAAACACGCACTAGACAGATGTTTTTGATCTGTGTGCTGTTGTATTTTTATTTTTTATTTTTCCCCTTAATACCCTTTCTGTGTATTTCTGTCTGACAAAAACTGTTACACAATTCATTCACTTTGCATTGAGAAAATGATTAAAATGATTCAACGGGAATCTCATGGCTCTTGTGTTCATTAGGTTACTTCTACTTTCTTAATACTTAAGTACAATTTGATACTGTATTTTTTTTTTACTTTTAGTTAAGTATCTTTTGGCCAGATACTTGGACTTTTAACAAAGTAAATTTTTTTCTCAGTATCCATACTTAAGTACTGTATACGTGAGTACAGATATAGCAGAAACACAGTGAAATACTAAAGGTATACATGATATAATGCAAGACAAACTAAATATTATATATGTGCTCTTTTATTTTTACTTGTATTTGCAATGAGCTTCAGAGTTTCTGTAACATGTGAGGCTCATCTAAATGGGTAAAAAAAACAGGTTCAATTCTGTTCTTCTGTTACATTATTGCAATACAATTCAAATACACACATTAAATATAATGTTAGATTAAGATGAAAAAGTAAAATAAATATGAGCGGATTTGGGTAACAGATTTCGCGTGAATGAAGCAATCATTCAGTTTGTTGAATGTGAAACAAATGTTTTAATCAAAGAAAAATATTGTTTAATAATTTTTATTAACATAAACCAGTCAACAACTACTCAAACACTTCTATATGTGTAAAAACTAGAAAATAGAATGTGATTATATATTTATGGATATCTCTTAAATGTTAATTTCTTCATAAAATATATGTATACACTACCGCTGAAAGTTTTGGGATCCGTTTTTTAAAAAGAAATGACTACTTTTATTCATCAAGGATCCATTATATTGATCAAAAGTGACAGTAAATACATTTACAATCTTACAAAAACTAGTCTATTCATCAAAGAATTGTGAAACAAATATAAATGTATCACAGTTTCCACAACATTCCAGAATCCGAAATGTTTCTTGAGCAGCAAATCAGCATATTAGAATGATTTCTGAAGGATCATGTCACACTTAAGACTGGAGTAATGATGCTGAAAATTCAGTTTTGATCACGGGAATAAATTATATTTTACAATATAATCACATAGAAAACAGTTATTTGAAATGAGAATAATATTTCACATTATTGTTGTTTTTCTCAGAAACATTAATACAATTTTATAGAACTCAAACTTTTGAAGGGTAGTAGCCTGTGTGTGTGTGTAAATAAATGCTTGATATGTATATGTAAATGCACTAGTTCTGCCAGATGACCGAGTTATAATAAGCATCTGTCAGGTGTGACATATTTGAGTTCACAGAATAAAAAAAACATTTTATGGAAGCGTAACAACAGCGGTACATATTCGGTAACAACAGCATTTCGTGTGTAATTTTATAGAATTTTACAGCATGTTCCTTGAAATTATGTTTTTCAAACTGTATTTTCCATTGTGTCTCGTAACTTCATTCACTGAACTATTAAAGGAGTGACTCTGACTGTAAACACAGCTCATTTTGCCCACTGAATGAAAACACTTTCCACAACATCACCAGTCTGATGAAAAACAACCTTCAGTAGCGGAATCTCAGTTCCTTCAGCAGACATGTCTATTCAGAAAAGTGACATAAAGTTTAATTGGGAACTGAAGATTCTTCAAGACGCTCAAGAAAGTCAAACTAGACAAGCTGAAGCTGACATTGAAGTAGAAACAAAAAAACAAAACAGATCTGATGGTCTGCAATATTTAAATTTAAATATGTTTATTCTAATAATATGTATGTTTGAATTTTTGTACGATTCTCCAAAACTTCGACACTTGATCTGAATAGAAATAAAACAAAAATAAATAATAAGAATAAAAATATAAAACATGTATGTACTCATATCCTAAAAGAATAAGATAGACTGTAGATACATGCTATTTATAGAATAAAATACCATCAGTGTGTGTGTGTGTGTGTGTGTATGTGTGTTTCTTTCATCTGTGTTTGTGGAAAAACATCAGCAAAGCAAAATGGCTCAGGATGTTCATATCACACAATATTATGACACAACTGGAGTGTGTTAGTGAAACACTAATGATCATGAGTGGAAACAGTGAATCCAGTAACACATGAACACTGATCTGATGTGAGATCAGCAGAATCCTCCAGTGTTTCCGCTGGAGATTCACACGGACAGAATCAATGACTGAATCAGTTCACTGTCACACGACACTCAGCTTCTGTCCTGAGAGTTATAAAACACGTAAACCTCAAAATAAACTTAACACATTTAACACTTATTTAAACATTAAATATAATTTACAGAATTGATCAATTGTTTGTTCATTTGCTTTTGACTGTAAAGCTGCTTTTAAAAACAGAAGCAGTTTTTTTTAGGTTTTATTTTAGATTCAGCTCTTATAAACTCATGTTGTTTGGAGAAGCACAAGTTTGTTCTGATGTTTCAGCATTTCTAATAAACGATAAATGCTCAAATTGGCAAAATTTGATAGCAGTGAAACTTTTAGCATGTGATGATTTAATTTAAATTATTAAATCTATTCTATTTGTACAGCGCTTTTCACAATTTGTGCTTCGAAGCAGCTTTAGATTCAGTCTTGTAATCTTTGTAACATTATTAGTTGTTATGAAATATATACAATCAAACCAAATAAAACTAGTCTAAATTTGTGGATTTTCATTTGTGTTCTGGATAAAATGTTTGTTGCATTACAGAAATATTTACTTGTTCTGTAAATACTAGGAAAATCTAGAAGAATGCTAATTTTACAAAAATATATGTATTTTAAAACATTTTGCACTGTTCATGTATTGTTAAATTCTCAACAGATAATAAAATGTGGGGAATAAATAAACTTTTTTTACTGCTATGTCAGCAGCAAAACTATCTTCAAGGTGATAACAAAAGGAATAACAGCAGTCTGTCATACAATAACAAAAGCTATATATGAAATTTAAGATTAATACAAGACAAAAATTCTAAAATACATTCAGGTGATTACCGGTATTATTATTAAAAACAAAACGTGACAATTTGTCATTTTCATACTGATGTTGACTGTATTTCGATCTGTATAACCAGCGTTTGTTCTTTAATTCCATATAATCACATTTAAAAAGTATTCTTAATAATAATTACATTCGAGTCGCTTGACATATTCGATAGGGAGTGAAACGAAGACAGATGCCACACCGACGTGGCCTGTGAGTGAGAACACACTAGTGAGCCGAGGTCAGATCACCAGTGAACAGTGTTTGAGTTCAGGAGGCCAAAGGCCAAACACTGAATTAGACTTAAATATTTGTGTTCTGTACCAATTTTCTGAGAGGATCTTGAATCTTTTGACAGAAGGAAACGCTCGACTCCACAGAAACCTCGATAAAGATGGCGGCCTTCCCTCAACTCCAGACTGAGTGCAGTGGATACGTCTGGTCTCTGATCAGCTCAACACTCACAAACAGAGCGATGTGTGACTCTTACCTGACACAGGTGTGATGGACAGCAGGATGATCACAGCGGATGCTGCTCTTGGTGCCATCATTATCCGTCTGTCTGTCTGACAGGCCGCAGCTTTGAGATGCGTGCGTATGTGTGTGTGTTTGACTCAATGACAGTGACTTCAGTGAAGCTCGAGATCTGCTCTCTGACAGGAAGTGGCTCCTCAAGCTCCACCTGTACATACAGACACAACCCATCTACTGAACACTGATGACAAACACACACACTCACTCAAACACACGCACAAATACACACACTCACGGCCTACTCACTCAACCACACACACACACACTCATGGCTACTCACTCTCCGAAAAATATGAGTGATTAGTTTTTACAATCGCTAGGACACTTTTGTCAATACTTCGATCACTTTTTCAAAACTCTTCACACAGTGAGCACAACAACAGTATTTGGGTAAAACTGTGGATCATTTATTGTTTTGGGACAAAATGCATTCAATGACTACATTTTTTCAAATTAAATGAATTCTTTTCACATGCAGACACAAACACCATCAAAACTCTACATACCTACAGGCCAATTTGCACATTTACATACTCTTTTCAAAACTTTTAAACCAAAGTTCAAAGCCTAACCTAATAAAAAAAGAACACAGCAATTTACATTTCTCCAGTAATGCTGAATAATTCTGAAATATATTCTGAATCTAAAAAAAAAAATGAAATACTATCAAAACCGCTAGATTTAGCTGAACAACTACACATTAAATGACCTTCTCTACAAAACGCAAATCAGGAAAAAAAATTACTGTAATGTAACATACTGCAGTGAGTTCTAAACAGAGGAGAGTGTAATTCTTGCTTTGTAATGAAAAACATTATATAATGCTACCCGTTGATAGTGTTTTTAGGTCATTGTTCTATGAGTGACAAAGTGATGTTTGTTGGGTTATAACCTGTGTTAGTGTTTTGGAAGAATAGCTTGACTTGAGACATGTATAGTGTTTAGCTAGTTTTGGTGCATTTTGAATGTGAAATTCACTGCTGTGCCAAGATGAAAGACGGTTAGGAGAACTGTGTGAAGAGTTTTGAAAAAGTGACCCAAGTATCGAGACATTTGACCTAGAAATTATAAAAACTAACAGAACGAGAGAAGTCACACAGAATCAGATGAACAATTCAATCCAAAATCAGATCTTTATTTCACTGCACACACTGCAATATGACAACCAGATACTTATTAAAAATATACAACAGCATTAGAAAAATAATCACTCTGGGTAAATAACGTTGGACTGACATCTCTGTGGTTTTATAGAGCTGGAAGGTGTCAGCTGTGTGTAAAAACACTGATCGATTATAAAATATGAGCAAAATGAGCCTAGATGCAAAACATCACGTGACGTGACATTCATATTTCCTGCTACAAAGATCAGAGGTTGGAGGTCAAGGGTCAGAGCCAAATGAAACATCTATAACTAAGTGATACATGTGAATCTCACAAGACTTTCCTAAGATTTAAACCAAAATGTAGCGATGCATTTGTATTTGGTGAGAATCTGCAAACATTCAAATGAAAAAGCATGTGCAAAGTGCAAAAATGTTTCTTAAGCATTTTACAAAACGCTTACAAAAAATGTAGTAACTAGATTTTCACATCATGTTCCATGAATGTTATGAAGAAATTAACATGTGATTAATATGTCTCACACACACAAACACACACGTCACAGTGCTACAAGATTCAAACAGCATCAACCTGAGAAACATTCATCAATTCGAGTCGCTTCTGAAACGTTCCATCAGTGATTTTGATCCAGTTCATCAAGATTACTGTGTCACTTCCTGCTGACACACACACACACACTTTGGTCACATGACATTCAGCATAGCGTCTGCTTCTGACTGATAACAGCTGCACTCACAGCTGACACGTATACATATATGACATATAATACAAACCAATATATTCAGTATTATTTTGCTGGTGAAATAAATCTAAGAACACAATGATTGAATGTGTTTGTGAGAGCATTCCAATGTTTACAGATGTTTAACAACTGACTCTCATTTCAAATTCAGCAGAAACTTAATTTAAACTATTTCAGTGAATCAATTCTAAACTCTGATTCAATAAATTGTTCACTCAGAAATGTCCAATCTGCCCACTCCAAAACAAAAAGGGGATTTTTAATGTATTTTACTTCTTGCCTTAAATATTTTGTTGCCTACAGTGACTGTTTGCTTGAAATGCAGCTTCCTCTGAACAACCGGGTCATTTTGACCCAGACTTGACTTTTTTTCCCCCTGAAAATGCTAGTTAAAGGGGTCATATGATGCACTTTCATGTTTTACTTTTTCTTTAGTCTGTTTTGTAGCTGTTTGTATGTATACGATCTGCAAAGTTACAAAGCTCAAAGTCTCCCACAAAAGGATTTTTTCTATCTAAAAGAGAAGGCTTGATCGACACCTGCCGAAAACACCTTGATCGCATTCTCCCTCACATATCTACATAACTATCCCACACCACTGCCCAAATGGATACGCAAAGAAAGAAGGCATGGCTTCAGGTATTGATTGCAGTAGTGTTGTTGTCACCATGTTGTGGAGTAAAGTAAAAAATATACTTATACAAAACTACTATATATAAAAAAATACTTTATTTGGCCTTCCGAAAGTGGACACAATTAGCAATCAGTGGTTAAGGTTTATTTACAAAACTGTTCCAAAACAGTACAACCCAAGTGTTCGAGTGTGTGCAGCACATTTTTACGGAGGACAGTTTCCTGAACCTGGGAGATTTACAAGGCCGGCTGTGAAAAGGTTGTTTCTAAAATATATGGCAATTGCAACTTTGCTAGGACAATCTGGTGCCATTAAAAATGACTGGCTCACAAAAATCACTCATAAATCTCTCATTATGCTACAGCTGCAATCAAAATTATTCAACGCACTTGACCTGCAAGACATTTTGCTGCAGAGAACAACATTTTATGAAAACATTTCAACAAAGGCATCAGTAAACTATTATAGAAAGTTTACACATTTGAGTGATTCGGAGAACGTAAAGTTGATGAAAATCCAATGTTGTGCAAAATCTTTTATTCTTTGTAACCTCCAATAAACGCTGCCTGTTAGAATCTTCTTCCACTTCTCTACTGCAATGTTGGCCCATTCCTTGCTTGAAAAAGTTCCAAGATCACTGATAATCTTTGGTTTTTGTGTTGCCACTGTTTTCTTCAAATTCCACTAAATATTTTCAGTAAGATTTAAATCTGAAGACTGAACAGGCCACTCAAGAACATTCTATGACCGATCCCTGAAGCAAGTTTCAGTAGATTTGGATGTGTACTTTGGGATGGCTGGACTGCAAGAAAGTCGATTGATCATCAAGCTTCAGTCACTGCACTGAAGACATCACAATCTTTGCCAAAATGGCCTGGTACTTCAAAGAATCCAAGTCCTTCATACAGTTAAGATTTCCACTTCCTGCAACACCAAAACATCCCCATAACAAGACTGGTCCACCTCCATGTTTGACCATGGAGATGGTGTTCTTCCTCTTATAAGCTTTTTGCATCAGACAAACCACTGATCCATGCGTCCAAAAAGTTCCAGTTTGGTCACATCACTCCATAAAACATTGTTTCAGAACTCCACAGGTCTTTCTAAATTAATTTTAGCACATTCAAGTCGGCCTTTTAAGTTCTTATTGGTAAAGAGTGGCATATGGCGAGGTGTCCCGACATGAAGGCCATGCTTCTCTAGCGTTCTTCTTATATTCTGCATTGAAATGTTTTTTCCTCCTTTCATCAGATCATCTTGCAAGTCTTTGGCTGTACATTGAGGGCTTTTCTCAGTTGCTCTGATCAAACATTTTATTCCCCTTGATGATATTGTGCTTTTTCTTCAACACCCTCAAAGGTTTTCTGTTACAACACATTTTAAATTTCTGAATTAGGCTGCCAACTGTGTCTCTAGGAACTTTTGGTGCCTTCTTGTAGCCATAGACCATCTAACTTAATAAAACAATTTATTCTCTATAGCTTTTGTGAGAGCATTTTTGACTTATTTGCTACTCAACTTTAGCAAATACATAGGCTAAATGTATGTATGTGTAACAGTTCAAGCTAATACAGTTTTGTTATAGTGTTTCCAAAGGCTTGATTTGTGTTTTAACACAATTTTCTACCATAACATACAACTATTAATAAGTAGAGTTGAATAGGGGTAGAATAAATATAACAAAATATTTTTAATTACAAAAAAATTCCATACCTCAAAAATATTACGTTGACATTATCATCATTAATAGCCACTAAGCTGTTATAGATGCATTAAATAAAGCAACTGATTATTATTACAAAAGCTTGGATTTTTCCAATCATCACAGGTTTTGTATTTCTTTTTGGGACTGATAGATCATAGACATCATTAATCTGAGTTTATGCATTTCAGCTTTTATTATCCATAAATAGTGTTTTTTTTATTCAAAAACTGAATACTGCCAAAATTATCCACAAATAATGTTTTTGTTCAAAAACTGAATTAATCAGTTCCAAATAGAAACACAAAACATGTGCTAAATGAAAGTTGACAAAAAAGATTGAATCCAATATCTGGTGATAATAATAAGAATGATTTACAAGCAATTTCTAAAAGGTTGGTCATTTTTGATGAGAAAACTAAATTTTCAGCACAGCACAAGGATTAAATGATTTCAGAACAAATACACATGTAAGTTCAATGCCTTGTTCATGTTGACTGAATATAACTGAATCATCTAACTGAAGCTCAATCGCGTCTGACAGACTCACCGGAATGTTTCCATTATGGAGTGACTCTGTAATATTCCTCAGGTATCACGGTTTTTACTCCACCGAAGTAATCGAGCACCCAAACCTGTGTGATATTCATCTTGGCAAAGAACCAGTTGTGGTCTGTGGGCCAGTCGATCATCTCTGGATGTCTGCTGAACAGAGCGGCTTTAGCCACTGACGCCTCGCTGCCGTTCACCTGCAAAACAGATTCACTGCTGACCGTCACACAATCACTGATTCAGATTGGACTCGACTGAAATGAGATGAAGAGGTGCGATACCTCCATGACAGAGCCGGACAGGATGATGTGGGCGCACAGTGGACTCTGAGGATCGAA